TCCATTACGCTTGTTGCGCAATGTAGTAAAGCAAGAAGCAGCGTTTTGGTCAAAAGTAGCCATGTGGTGACGAATTTTTGATGCCCTAAGTACCAATTTCGTGACAAAACAATCCCTCATTTTGTATTACGAACTGCAGCATCATGTTCTGTATTGCTTTAGTACGACTTGCAAAAAATTTGAGCTTCTAAAATTGAATTTCACAGAAATCAGGAAGGTTTTGTTTTCAAAAATTATTTCTAGGAAAGCCGAAAAGCTTTATCTATTTGTACAGCAACAATACATACCTCAAATTTATTTTTAAAAAAGTATCAGTTTTTTAAAGCGAAACAAACGACCACTGACTTATCGATCACTTCATCAGCATGTTTCGCCTTTTTACCACTACTCACTGGCCAAATATCGATATGCCTGAGCAGCCACAACACTTCGTCTCGTGAAAATGAAAGAGCCATCCAAACGAACAAAATTTTTGGGCCCAAAAGACCTATTTGATCTTTGATTAGTAAGCAAAGTTCCCGTAATGTTCCGCGAAGAAAACGGCGACGATCACGATGAATTGTTAGACTGAAAAGAAGGTCAGTTGAGTTTTATGTAAAGAGGGAGAAAGGGAGAAAAAAAAAAAAACGCATATTTTACTGCGTAAATGGATCAAAAGAGTGAGTTTAGTAAAATAAACGGGTGCTTACTCAGTTTCCAGGGAAAAAGAACGGTACCTACTCACTCTCAAGGGGAATGAAGTAGTTTCCCGAAAAAGTTGTTTATTCGCCTAGCAATAATTTCTGCGGCTATATGCATAAAATGTATCCGAAATAAAAAAAAAAAAAGGAAGACACGTTCGTTCACCTTGTTTGCAAAGCGACAGAATAATGGTCCTTTACTTCTTGTAACTTTTTGTTATAACCTTTAATACTTTCAAAAACGTTCTGCGCCGTCTGATGGACAATGAGAATTTCATTCCTGAAAAAATGCTCACTTCAGAATCAATCAATCAATCGCCAAAACTGATAATTAGCTAACAAATTCCGTCAGACTTCACCGAAGTATAAATATACGCATTCCGCTTAGCCCAAGCTAATCACGCTTTCATCATCAGTAATTTCGCTGGTAAAGTTGCTACTGGTTTTTCCGCGTTCAAGGAACGTGAAGGGAGGGAAGAGAAAAATGCTGGATTCATCATCATCTAACTGCAAAACAAATCAACGAATTGTGCATCACATCA